AGTGCCTACTTGATGTCGCTTAATTGTGGCCTGCTTTTTTTTTATTTTTCCTTTTAGGTCTTGCCACGCCTACAATAGTAATAATTTCATTTAAATCATTAGCAATAAAAAGAATATAATTAGAAATATTTTAATCAACAAAGTCAAAGAAATTTAAAAAATGGTAATTATATAACAAGTTCAATAGAACAAAAACGATTTCTTAACTAATACAAATTATTCTATTAATTTTATATTCTACTGAATTGTAGATATACCCATACTAATAAAAAAAATTCATAAATACCTTTCTCCACTGTTTCCAGGTTTTTTGAGACCCAGAAATTCCATTTAAAATATCTGCTAATTCCAGCCAGTGTTTTTGTGCATCCTTAAATGAGAAATCTTGGGAAAATTTCACATTGTATAGATTTGGATGCGTTTGCATATAATCGATCAACTGCTTTTTCTGTTCCTCCGTCATTCCTGCAACTTTTCCTCCTGACATTTTTTTATAAAAAATTTATCTTGCACTAACTTGTTCGTTGTTCTTTGTAATTTAAAATAATAAATATCACATTCAACATCAATCCCATCCAAGCAAAAAGACCATAGACCACAGACATACAATAAAAATTCTAGAGACTAGAGTTTATATTTTTGACATATACTGTGTTGCCAAGTTTAAATTGCAGCATTCTAAACAAGCCATCGACCGGGACTCGAAAATACGACTTCTATTTACCATTCGATGCAGCCATCGCATGCGATGGGTCGTGCACGATCATCGTCGATCGAGTTCGAAAATCGCACCCCAGTTCTCTCTCTTTTTTTGTGAAAGATCTCGACCGTTCGGCAATTACAGTCTGAACAATCGGATGATAGTCTTTTTGCTCCGAAAATTTTCACCGAGCAGAGTGATAAATCTGAATTTGTGAGGTTAAATTTAAGTTCAAAATTAGCTTATTGTTATTGACATTCCGCTTATTTCGCTACTATTATTTAAAACATGAACTGGAACTTTTCTGATGTTGAACAACAACAGCGTTTTACTATATCTGTAACAGAAGAGAATTATCATGAAATTACAGTAAATCAAAGTGTAACGACGCATCATTATAAGGTTTGTTCGCAGACCAAGAATTGCCAACGTTGCCAATCCATTACTGATTTGTACGTACGCGTGCGCGTTTTATGATCGGTTGGCAATTTTTCGCTCTCGAACAGCAATTTGACTACACTTTTGCTACCTGGTGGCGGCTTTTTAAAGTTAAGTTAAAACTAGGGCTACCTAACCTCAATCCGATTTTGTCTGAATGCTGAGATAACATATTTATTATATGCACAAAGCAACCACTCTATTTGTAATTATATGTGAATAATTTGTGATAAAATATACATTCTTCTTAACATCTGATATTAATATTTAAGTGAACGAAAAAATGGAAAGTATGTTTTTGGTATTTTTACTTAGTTTGACATTTCTTTTATAGTATATTTTTATTTTTTAGAGAATGATGACCTTTTGGATGAATTCTTAGTCTTTAAGCCAAAGAATACCTCAGCGTTGGACATTCCTTAACTATCTCTAAGAGTACAACTGCTGCTCTTGTATGCTCAGATAGTGCCTCATCAATTACTTGGACAAAATCAAATACACTTGTGCTACTGGATGTGTATCAGAAATATAGGACAAAAGTTGGCACATTGGAAATTCGAAATTTCAAAAGAATGTGGGAGATTATTTCTAGTGAACTTAAAACTCGAGGTGTTATGGTTTCAGAAAACAACTGTGAAAATAGGTGGCGGGTACTGGAACAAAATTACAAGAAATATGTTGATAACAAGAAGAAAACCGGACGTGGCAGATCATTTTTTGAGTATGCGGATGAAATGGAACAAATTTTAGGTAAAAAAAAGAACATAAACCCTACGGTTGTTTTGTCAACCCAAACAGTTAGTGACATTTCATCTCGGCACCAGTGTTTGCCTTCTGTTACACATTCTAAAGCCATGTCAGAACCAGTACCAGGATGCTCTAAAGACACAGATGAAGGCTTGGACCAGGTAATAACTACTTTTGAGTCAGAATCTGGAGGTTCATCGACAAATATAAGGAATGAAAATTCCTCGGAAAATCCAAATCGGCTGCCTCAAAAAAGAAAATTAGAACAACTGAAGAAATCGACAGCAAGAAAACCAAGATATAAAAATAATGAAATATTGGAAAAAATTAGTGTGCAGAAGGAGAACCGACACAAAGAAAAAATGGAATTTGAAAGAGAGAAATTTAACAAATTGTACGAACTCGAGTTACGAAAACAGGATAGTAGAGAAATGAAACTTAATGTTTTAAAAGAAAGCAATGAATTGCAAAAAAAGACTAATAGTCTGCTGGAATTAATTTTGCAGAAAAAACCAGATTTATTATAATTCCTTTTACTCATATGTGTTATTTTTATAAATGTATGGTTATGTTTTAACAGCATTTGTTTAAGAATTACCGTTTGTTTTGTGTTTTTTTTTTATTATTTGTTAGTTTTCATGTATGTTTATTTTTAAGATGCGATTAGAGAGAGTATTTTTGTTATTTGTATTATTAATTATTGCTGTTTCAAGAGTTCCTATATTTTTTTTTTTTTTAGATTTATTATTTTGCTGTGAATTCTGTTCCTGATGCTAGACTTATGAATTTATATGTATATTTTTTTACATAGACAGAATATATTTTTTTAAAAAACAGTGTTTTTATGGGAGCACTTTAGCTGTCGTCAGCTGATATCAGTATCGATTCCTAGCCAACTCTTTACTAAATGCATGCAAAACTATTGACAACAGAAAGTACTGATTAAAAGTAAACCACATTGCTAAAATAAATCATAGAAATTCTACTTTTTAAACATCTATATTTCAATCTTAGAAAATTTATTGCTATATCTATTTAAATTTTACACATTATTAATCAAAATATTGGCGACTTCGTTTCTCTTAACTCGCTCTTATAAAATTAGCAATGTCGTGATCCCCTCTTAGTTGTAGGTGGTACAGCTGCCTAAATTTTTGTTTTAAGATGCCAAAGCAGTGTTCTATCACATAACGTGTTGCAGCTAACTTATTGTTATAGTTTTGTTGGACCCTTGTTAAATTTCCAAAATCTTTGTATGGGGTTAACAAGTGTCTTAAGCAAGGGTAACCACTGTCGCCCAAAATATAATTGTTCCCACATTTTTCCTGTAGGGTTGTTGACAATGGGGATGCTCGAAACACTCTACTGTCATGCACAGATCCTGGAAAACCCACTGTGACATCCCTTATTTTCCGTCTGTGATCGCACACAACCTGCACCTAAAAATAAAATTTTATTTAATTTATTAGCTCTTTGTTGTCTAAGTTTAAATTAAAAATGCTTTTATTTCATTACATTAAAAAAAGTGGTTGATTGTGATGAGAGGTATACTCAATTTTTCCAAATATGACAAACACGAACATAAGAAATGCATGTTTTGCTATGCACTGTAGCTATTCCAGAGGATAAATACTAAAAATAATCCTGAAGTTTTAGTATTTGTCTTAGAATGAAGCTACTGAAATACTTTTTATGTCACGTTACTTTCTTATTATGTTTAAATGTTATAAGATATACATAATTTCAGTACTTAAGGCAACAAGGTAGGTGATACTTATAACACTCCAAAAAACTCACCTGCATAGAATAAAACCCCTTTCTATTTATATAGGAATCAGGGTCTTCAGACGGTTTATCAATTTTTACATGGGAACCATCTATCACCCCTATTACACCAGGAAACCCATTCTCTAAAAATTGCTGCTTTATGTCATTTTGTTCTTCATTGGTGGGCCATGTAATAATTTGTGGTGACAAATTACTCAAAAAGTACACCATTCTCTCAACTACGTTACGCAGCGTACTTATGGTTATATTAAATCTGTCAGCCACATCTCTGTATGAAGCTGCCTCGTGTCCAGCAAACCACAAAAATATAATTGTATAATCGGAGGCACTCAACTTTCCAAATTCTCCACTTTGGTGGAAAAAAATACTGAGAATTTCTGAAGCGTTCCTCTATGTCATTAGCCACCTCTCTGCTGACTCTAAAATGCTCCATAAATTGTGCATTACTGTACTGCGAAACTGTTTCCTCCAAATAGTTCTCATTCTTGGGCTTTGGTCGTTGATCGAACACCACAAATAGCTCTTCATCACTTGATGAACTCAATAAATCGTTTTCAAACATCTTAAAGAAAAAAATCACAAATAATCTGTGTACCCTAGAGAAACCACTAAAACAAAAACTAAAACTTATTTCATACCTTTCTAATACGTCTAATTTCAGTTAATTTTTGCTCTGGATGTCTTATCAAGTTTTTTTTAAATAAATTCCGAATCGCGGAAAACAACAAAATCTAATCACTAATAAGCCCCAAAATTTATTGGTTATCTTTTCTTAGTAAACAAACCAAAGAAACCATGGAAATGGAAGGCTAGCGGATCAATTTCAACTGCGCATGTCTCCAAATTAAAATTTCTTATCCGTCAGCGAATTATTCTGACGGTTGCCAACCAGTTTCCAACCGCATATTTTCTTTCTACGAACGTCGGATTTTTGATCACTGATTTTTGGTTTGGCTTCTACAAACGCTTTTAACGAAACGCGCCTGCGCCGTACAGTTGCTGACGGTTTCTGACTGCTCTACGAACTACAGGCCACCAGACTCTCAAACCCACGCAGCCGAGGAGTTTTCAGCCGACGAGGTTCTAGCCGCCCTCACCCGATGACGATAGTTGCGCGCCTCACTCAGTTCGGTGACCCACGAATATAAGAAGTGGCAAATTATAAGTCGAGGAGTGGGAAAATCAATTCTGATACGCCCTCGAATCATCACACCTACTTCCCGTAGCTGAACGGGTTACACGAGGGTCATCCGGATTTTCCGATAAAACCAAAGACATTAAAGTGTTGTCAAAAATCTGTACCTTTTTTTTATACATAAGTTTTGTTATGGTTTACTTAAAAATAAAGTATTTCGTAGTTGTTTTTAATTTTTTTTTATTATAAAGGATCCAACGGTTAACCCGGAGGAGACTTTTACAATTGGCGCTCAACTAAGTGGCCCCAGTGTTGTTCGCAGGCCGGTTTTCGTAATAGATCTATTACGTTTTGATGTAATCTATTACGTCATTACGCCGCCAGACAAATCTATTACGCTTTCGGAATTGTACTAATCTTCTTCTTTTCCCAATTGGTGGCCTTGTTCTGGTTAGACCCGGGAGACCACAACCAGTCAACTGTGTTCTGTGTTGAGCATTTGGGACAGGTTGACTAGTTGAACGTTGATGACATTTGATGTTTAAGGTTACGTATTCGAATTTCGCAATAATTTTTTATAACAATAACATGGAGTAATAAAACGATAATAATCTAATTTTTAGGTGGCTATTTAAACTTGAAAGTTCGGCTGCCAAGGGTACCAATACCAAAGAAGCCACAGATTCTTATGAAGATGAATCTGATGGCGATGTAGATTCAATGTCAGGGATAGGGAGCGAAGTAGTTGAAGCAGCACCACCAAAAAAACAGAAAAAAACATACAAACAAAACTACAAAGAGCAATGGAAAACGAAATTTGGTTCTTGGTGTCGGAGCACAACAACAGAAGGGACTTTTTTTGTTATGTTTGCAGAAAAGATATTGTTGTAGGCATGACTCATATTTCACGCCACGAAAAGAGCCTGCTACATAGAAAAAATAAAGGAACTCCAGAAATTAAGAATTTTACTGTAACTGACACACAGTTAACAAGAGCGGCTAATGCTTACAGAGTAGAAGTTACATCTGTTATGTTCTTGCATGAACATAATTTGCCACTTTTGTTAATGAACCACTTATCTAAATTTTTACAAGCCGTTTGCCCAGATTCGCAAGTAGCAAAAGATATGCAAATTGGAAAAAAAGCAACTTTAATAACAAGAGATTGTATAGCAGTGGAAGCGCCAGAAGTGTTGTCAAGAAAAATAAATAATTCAGTAGCGTTTTCAATTATTATGGATGAAACAACGGCTATTAGTACAGAAAAAACATTGGTACTAGTTGTAAGATTTTTTGATTCAGCTGAAGGTAGGGTTCAGGATAATTTTTTTGGGTTAATCAAAATATCTAATGGAACTGCTGCAGAAATTCACAGCAAAACAATAGAGCACTTAAGAAAAAATAATATCCCCTTACATAAAATGATTGGTTTTGCAGCAGATAATGCCTGCGTCATGATGGGTAATATAAAAGGTGTTAAAGCTCTGTTTCAAAAAGACAATAACAAAATTATTCATTTTGGGTTGTGTTTGCCATTCTTTTCATTTATGTTCTTCGGCTGCTTGTAATAAATTACCCAAATCTATAGAGGAGTTTGCAAGAGGCATCTATAATTTTTATTCAAATAGTAGCAAGAGATCAAAATTCTTAGAAGAATGTCAAGTTTTTTTAGAAGAAAAACCCCATAAAATGCTTCGCCCCAGCCAAACCAGATGGTTATCTCTACAGACAAGTAGTGAAACTGTTTCCCTTATTTTCAGAAATTCTACGCGTAACTTTCGTTTTAGGCTGTTGTTAACAGAATTTTACAGCACTGGCAGTCGCTGGTTTTGGTTTTTCAAGATGCTGTGCTTGCAGATAATTTAACGAGTTTTTCAACGATTTTAAAAAATCTGAGAAATCCGTTATATAAGGTATACTTTCAATTTTTATCGTATATCTTAGAAATGGTCAATAAATTAAATATAGAGTTCCAAAGTGAACATTGCAAAATCTTTACATTGAGTACAAAGATCAACTCATTGTACAAAACAATTTTAAGAAATTATTTAAAGAAAGGCTATATTGGTAACACTTCTTTAGAATTAATTGATCCCAAAAACCTTAGAAATTTCATAATTTTGGAAGAAGTTTACTTTGGTGCGTACGTGGAAGCTGCATCGAATAACCCTCAAAATCCAAGACAAACTGAAATTCATGATTTTAAATTACGAGCCTTAGAATTTTATATAGAGTTATGCACCCAAATTAAAAATAGATTTTCTTTCAATGACCCTGTATTAAAATTTTGCTCAACATTTTTACCCGAAAATGCTCTAAGTGGCATCACTAAATCAATTTCCCAATCAGAAGTGTTTTTCCCAACACTGGTAAAAGATATCCAGGCTCTGGACAACGAACGGAGACTGCTTGCAGACTGCGAGGAACTAAAGACATTTGAAGATTTAGAGGTTGAACAGTTTTGGTATAAAATATTTGAGTTGAAAAACAGTATTAATGAATTGATGTTCCCTAATCTGTCTATGTTAGTAAAAGGGTTAATGTGTCTACCTCATTCCTCTGCAGCTGCAGAGAGACAATTCTCCCAATATAATCTAATAAAAAAAAAAAACTAGAAAACGTTTGTTAGTAGACACTTCGGATGCCATATTCCAAAAATCTTTTGGGGCAAAATACCTGTTTCTCTTGGACTCCTTCAAATACATTGTTACAAAAGAAACCGATATATCGACCTGAAATGGAGGAGACTGAGGACTGACAAACCAAAATAATTATTTTTATTTTTTAGATATTTATTATTTTTCTATATAAAGACTGTATACAAAGTACCTAGTTTGACAGTTTAGAGTATTGATGTTTTTTATGTTTTTTTATGATGTTTTGTTACGATGTTTTTTTACTTTTTTTAGTTGTTTTGTTACAAAACGCAATAAACATATTATTTTAATTTTGGGTGTTTTTCTTAAATTTAGCAACTATTTTCTATTTAACAGAACATATAATCAAATGTTAGCTCTGTAAATTCAAATTTCGAGCGGCTGCCATTTGACGCATGTGCGAGGTTTTACATAAATGTTGCATGTGCTTCACCCATCACTGCGCATAGGTATTGGTACTAGGCCGGATAGTTGTATGACACTTAAGACTAGTGACCCGGAAATAAGAAGACTTCTTCTTTTTTACAATGGCTGCTTGTCTTTCGACATCCAGCCAGTAGTCGTGTATCGTTAGCTTGACCACTGACCTCGCTTTCGTCCTGATACTCGATGTCGCCACGATTAATTGTGTCGTTATTAATTGATAATTCTTAATACCTAATAATTCGGATTTTTTAAAATTTGTTACGAAAAGTTGCTAATCTATTACGAAACTGAAGCGCCATCTAGTACGAAAAAAAAAAAGAGGCTGCGAACAACACTGAGTTGCCCTAAGTACGAAACAGAAGATTGACAGAGTAGATAGTCTTCGCCGGTTCTGCGACCTAACCAAAACGTCATCTAGTGGATGCCACCAATACAGGAAGACAAGATATTAAGAAGAAGCTCACGTCTCAACCCAACTATGACTACACTATCGGCCGAGCAGTTTAAACAGCTGATCAACACCTTCACCTTGAAGCCCGATGATTTTCAAAAACAAGGGAGTTTTGTCCAATGCACAGCCCGGTATAACGGAAGCAGAGACACGAGGAGCGTCGAAGAATTCCTGACAGTCACCACCATCTACAAAGGATGCTAGAAAATCTGAAACGAGAAAGCCCTGGAAGGACTACCATTGCTGCTACAAGGCATTGCTAACACCTGGTGGCAAGGGGTCAAGGACCACGTCACTACCTGGAGAGAAGCCACCACTCGGATACGTGAGGCCTTCGCACCAAAGCGACCAGCCTACAAGGTCTACATGGATATATTTGCAGAGACCCAGGACCGCAGGACTTCAACGGATGTTTTCATCTGTACAAAGAGAGCCTTTCTCGCCGAATTAGCTGAAGATGCACACTCCGAGTCTCAATAGCTAGACCTACTTTATGGTTTACTCCACCCGACCATTAGACGAGCTGTTGACAGAGAAGGATTGACAACGTTCGATGAACCATTTCAAAAAGCCCGCATCGCGGAAGACCACCGAGACGAGAAACGGACGGACAAAGCGAGAGGAGACAAGGAACCCGACCTAAATGAGCCTATTGCAAAATTCTTGGACACGGAGAAGAAGAATGTCGGAAGAAGCAAAAAGCCCAGAGGTCTGCAGAAGCCAAGCATCTCCTCTAGCGACCTCCCGACAAACGGTATCATTTGTTATGGTTGTAAGAAGCCCGGATTCATCCGCAGTAAATGTCCTGACTGCATTACACCTGCCAAGAACACTCCATTAAGTTTCTGCTCGTTGGGATTAAAATTCAACCCAGTATTGAGAGATAGACCTGCATTGGAAATTACAGTTGATGGCATCACCGGAACGGCATTTGTGGACACAGGAGCCCGGATAAGTGTAGCCAGCCACCAGATGTACCAGATCCTCCAGACCAAAGGTTATAGATTTAGAACTGTCCAATCCACTATCACTCTAGCTGATGGAGCACAACGAGACCAAGCAGTCCTAGTATGTCAGGCAGATGTACAACTGAAGACCCGCACAATAGCCACCCCCTTTATCGTCCTTCCCGAGGCCACAACCAACCAGACCCTGCTAGGGATCGACTTCCTCCATGCCGCTGACTTAGTCCTTACCATAAGAAAGGAAACTTGGTACTTCAGAGATGAACCCAACCAAGTATACTCCTTCTGCAGTAAAGAAACTCGGGACATAGACGAACCGAACCTTGGATTTCTCCAAGCAGAGATGACCACTTCGACGTTGCCGCAACATTTTCCAACAACCCCTAGGAATGCACCAATGGATGTGGATGAACCGATTGTAGAATATTTTAAGGAATATCACCCTACTTTATCCCGCCACGAAGCCTCGTTTCCTGGGTATGACGAACGTTTCGTAACCTGGTTGTATCGCAGTGCATCTTTCGCTGTATCCAACTACCAGGAGCCATCCCCTACGAAGCCCCTGCTCACCTTGGAACAGAGACGACTCGCCCGTATCGCGAATCTCGATCTGGCCACCTTCGAGGTCAAATTACGAGAAGATGAAGCCGCTCACCTGACTAACGAACAGCGAAACATTCTCAACCAGGCCCTCCTGAACGCATCTGAGATCTTCGGCGAAATCGACCATCCCACCACCGTCGTAGAGCATGCCATAGACACAGGAACCAACGCACCAATTTCCAGACCACCCTATCGAGTTTCTCCACACAGAAAAGACATTCTTCGACAGGAACTCGATCATATGCTGGAAAAAGGGATCATCGAGGAATGCGATTCCGCTTGGGCTGTCCCGATTGTCATGTTTCCTAAACCTTCCGGTGGAACTCGGATTTGCATCGACTACAGGAAATTAAATCAGCTCACGACACCGGATATGTATCCTCTTCCTCGATTAGATGATCTGTTACTAGAGATGGGCAATAAATCACGAACTGCTAAATATTCACTGCGAATGAAAAATTGAAATCGCAATCTGCTATCTATTATAAAATAAACTGCGAATAGCGCGATCGCGACTACAAACCGTCATTGAGCGAACAACAGAACAGTTCTTTAAACGCATTAACCGAAAAGTAAATGTAAACGACCGCGTTCACGTCTCCAATCACGTTTGCTGACTTTGCTCATTGCTGAGCTATGTCTACTGTGATCGCAACTTCGCGTTTTCATCGCGTCGAGTCTATTCATTGGTCGATTGGCAGCGATTTTGACTGTAGTATTTGCTATATACACTAATGTTTTATTATATTTTAATTTTCTTATAGAATAATATAACTTATTAAAATATTATACGCAGACTCGACACTCAGCAGATCGCTGCATTAATTTTCAATTTGCGATAACGCTATATGTAATGTGCAAGGCAGCGAAATCATGACGTCATTCGCAGTTAGCATTCGCAGTTTATATTCACAGTGAATTATAAATCGCATTCACAGTAACAACTGCGAATGAATATTCGCGACTAAGCTCATCTCTATGTCCACTACCAGGACTCCATTTATGTCTACCATGGACTTAAGGGCTGGATATTGGCAAATTCCTGTTCGTGCCCAAGACAAGGACAAAACGGCTTTTGTTGCTCCCTGGGGACTATATAGGTTCAATCGTATGCCTTTTGGTCTTCGAAATGCCCCCGCCACTTTCCAGCGTTTTATCGACAAGTCCTGCACAAGTTTAGGGGACATTCCTCTTCTTGTCTATTTGTGTGACCTGATCCTCCTTTCTCCAACTTTTGAAGAACATGTTGCTCATCTCGGTCCCATATTTTAAAAATTTCAGACTCTTAAACTTCGTTTAAATCGAGGAAAGTGCAAATTCTGTTGTGCCCGGTTACTCTTCCTTGGACACATCCTTTCCCCCGAAGGTATCAGTCCCTGACAAGGTGACCGCTATCAGAAATAAACCACCTTCTCGCAATCTTAAGCGCACTTACTATCTTTTATTCAAACTTGTTCTTGGTTTCGCCGAATTATTCCTCAATTTGCCAGTCTCTCAAAGCCGTTAACTCAGTTAACCAAAAAAACGCGGCCTGGAAATGGTCCTTAAATGAACAATGCGCTTTTGAAACACTCAAAGAAGCCCTATCGAGTGCCCCAATATTAGTACAAGCCGATATGACACAACCTTTCTTCCTGAGAACGGATGCAAGCAACTACGCAATCGGAGCAGGGCTACTGCAGGGGGAGCTCCAAAGGGAGTAACCCATCGAATATACTAGTCGTTTACTCACTTCAGCTGAACAGAACTACTCGATAACAGAGAGAGAGGCCCTTGCAATCGTTTGGTCCATATCCAAATTCCGAGGATATATTGAAGAAACCTCTGTAGTCATCATCACTGATCATCAAGCCATTAAATGGTCGATGACCCTGAATCTCCATCTGGACGCCTCGCCCGATGGGCACTCCTACTCCAAGGCTACCTTCTTCGCATAGAATATGCTCCAGGAAAGGCCAATGTTGTCGCCGATATGCTGTCTAGACCATTTTGCATCCCGGAATCTGCAACCTAGTGTGGAGTCTGTTCCTTCCAGGTGGAGTTACCAGTTCTAAGTCCAAAGATCACCAGGGAAAACTAACTAGGCGACCCAGAGATCCGGAAAATTCTTGAGGCTTTCCTCCACCCAAATGACGAAGAGACCATTTCCCGATGGACCAACAGGGGATACATGCTGTCCCAAGGAGTTCTTTATCGGTATGATCAGGACAATCAGGAAGATGAAGCCCAATTAGTTATTCCATCCAATGAGAGAATGAAAATATTACAAGAATACCACGACTCTCCCACCGCCGGACACTACGGAAGTGACAAGACGTTAAAACGGATCCGTTCCCGATATTTTTGGCCTGGAATGAGAAAAGACGTCGAGATGTACATAAAAAACTGCCTACCCTGTCAACGGTACAAAGTTAGCAATCTAAGACCTACTGGACTGCTACAAACTCCCACGATGAAACAACGATTTGAAGTACTAGCCATGGACCTCTTTGGCCCACTACCAATATCAAATC